TAGATAGATAGATAGATAGATAGATAGATAAATAGATAGATAGATAGATAGACAGATAGATGAAGAGAGATGAGAAAAGTGCTGTGATTGTGATTGAATTAGAAATTTGTTTTACTTGCAAAATATTTAGGAAAGGGCCCACAAAACCAAATCAAGAATACGAGATAGTATATAAGATATTGATTTTCCATGCATGATGCATGGTGAAAGTTAAAAGAAATGATGAAAAATTTTGCATTCATGTCCTTTACACGCAAAAAAATGTCCTATAGAAGAAGGCAAAAGTAACACTAAACTAAATCAATATCGAATGAATACTTACATGATAATTAGTATTGGGATTGGGATGGTCAGTAGAAAAGGCCCTGCTCTTCCGATTAGAGCTTCCACGCGTTCCAAACACACAACAGAATCCTGAATTAGTCACGCTGACAAATTTAATGAGACTATATGCGTAGATTTTTACGCACAATAAAATAATGTAATGTAATATACATTAGCTTTCTAACAATTTTAAATTTGAATATTATAACAATAAAATCTTTAATTGTAATTCATTTTTTAAACTGTCCAAACATGATCGTTAAATAAGATAATTGATATAATTTTTAAAAATTCAATCATAACGTTGCGTAAAGCAACATAAAAGAATATAAAGATGAAATACAAAATAAAAGAATGTAAAGATGAAAAATATGATTTCATCTTTTTGAAAAATTTCGATTCCATTTCAATTCTAATAAAATGTTATAATTCAAAGAAAAATAAAAAATCGAAAAAGGTGAAAAGTGAAAATTGATTGAAATTATCGAAATAAATAATATTTCTCAATCGTTATCTGAGTAATGAAAAATTTTAATATTTCCAATTGCGCCTTAATTTTTGTAATTATTATTAAAAGATATCATTAAAAACAAAATATCATTAATATTATATTACTATGGTTAAATGAACATTGTCCACAATAATAGACATTAAACATAAAAACTATAAAATAAATTAAATTTCTATCTAATAAATCTTTTCACATAAATCAAAAAATGGAATAAAAGTGTTTTTATTATTTTAAAAAAATATTTAACAAGAAGAAATAATTAGCCCAATTTTTTATAACGATATAATAAATTGTCAAAGAAAGTTTTTTCAATAAAAAAGAATTTCGAATGAAGCGAATATAACTCGTTTAAAAAATTATTTCTATTTGACTTTTTATTCCACATCTACCTTAAATACAAATGATATGTAACTGAATATAAAAAGTATTCATGTATTCCAAAACATGAATACTCACATGTATTCTACGTATTTCTCCATATGCATTCCAATTTTTCTTTTCTTTTCCTTCTTTTTCTCTCTTTTTCCTTTTTTTTTTTTTTTTCACGAGATTATTTGAAATGTCTAAGAAGATGAACATATATACACATATGAGCTATTACGCTGAAAACACAGTACAAACCGTTGCATAAACCGTTTATTCCTAAATGAATTATCAAATAAATAAAGTTTAATTGTATCATTTAATATTAAAAAAGATATTAATATAAATCTGAGATTTTTTTCATTTTCATTCAAAAGAACTAATTTTTGTTAAATAAAAAAAATTTTTTTATCATCAATCCATTATAAAGAAGCCATCAATTCTTATCTTTTTAAATAATTAGATCGTAATAGATAGATTGGATAGATAGATTGGCGAAATTTTTAAGTTCAACATCTATAATTTTCTTAAGAATAATATTAACACTTTGACGTCCGGTGACACCAATGTGGTGTCATTGGCAAACCGTATTTGAGGGGAGGTTGGTGCAAGGTGTCTTGGAATGATCGTTACTCTGTTTTGTACAATTCTTTTATTTCGTATGCTCGCGAACTGCTCTTGGGCTTAACTTTACAAGCTCCGGACAAGCGAAAATCTAACTTGTTCTTGTCGGAGCTTTCAAGACACCTCGTTCATGGATAAATCTTACAAAGTTGCGTTACATTTAGGGGCTAGGTATCATCAAAAAGAGAAATATTAAATGAATGCAGAATTTAGTTAAAATGGAGTTATTTTCTTTTTATTTTTTTGTAAAAAAATATATTATAATTAAACTAGAATATATTGTTTTTAAAAAAAAAATCTCGACAAATCACATTTATTTACATATATTATTTCATAAAAAGTAGCTAAGTTAATTATGTTGTTTGAGTGTGTGCTTTATATTTGTACATTTTAATGAACAACTTTGCAAAAAGTTTCCGGCGACAGAGAAAATTTTCGTGAACCGTGCGGACGTGAAAGTGTTAATGAAATTTCAATTTTTTAAATTCAATACGTTTCGCCAATTATAAAACAATTTTATAATTATTACAATTAAATTGATCATTTTTGTCGATCATTGTTGATAATTTTATTGATTGAGTATTCACATTTGTATTTTCTAATCTAAATTTTTCACATGAAAGATATTTCGAAAACCTGTATTAATATTATGTACAATTTACATTTCGTTAAGTCAAAAATGAGTTTTATGAAACATTATGTTCCGTTTTAATAGATGATCCATCTTTTTATCACATCAACAATTGACAAAACATCGATCATATTAAATTCAGCAAGTTTCAAATTTTGAGTCAATGTTTAAAAAATATTATAAAGCACTTTTAGTCATGAAATTCACATGCTATTTTATATGCAACAACATAATACAGTACCTATTTACAATATTCCTAATATGAACAAATACTAAAGTTTTACAAAAACTTCTTCGTGCAGTGTAAAAAATTATAATGATAATTATAATGATTTGCACATGATATGTCGACTTTTGAAATACCTATGTTAATATATTATTGATCGGAGCAGATCAGATAAATTGTGTTTATTTTCTTGAAAATATGTTCGCTAAATCTGATCAAAAATTTTTTCTGAAAATTCTGTTTAAAATTTCGCTATTTAACGTCTCAAACATAGTTTGGATGATTGATGAGAATAATTTTATTCCTTATATAATTTACATAATGTTTACGAGAAGTCAGAGAAAGATCGATTTCAAAAATTTTGCATAAATAAAATGTCAAATAGATGTGAAATTTAATAATTTTTTAATGCACTCATCGAAAGTTAAAAGTTTTTATTACGTGTCTCTATTTTTAGCTATTCTCCGAAATATCGTTCATTTGTAATTGTTATATGTTTCAAAAAAGTCGTACAATAAAACAAACAGTTTTATTTTACATAAAAACAATATTTGTAAGAAGGATTTTTGATAAAAGTTAAGATTCAAAATTTTCTGAAAAAAATTCGGGAATATGCAGTATATACTCTACATAGTATACACTCTCAAATATTCCATTACAACTTCAAGAATCATGACGTCTGCCCCTTAAAAAGTATAAAATATATTTTTATAAATATCTCAGAAACTGAAGTTTAGGAACTGAGCATGAACCGAGCGAACATATGAAAATTTCAGAATGATAACCTCGACTACTTTCATCTAGGACAAAATTAAAGAAAGAAAAATTTGGTCTGACATTTTTTTGCTTTTATCGATACTCGTTACGATAACTCAACATTAAAATAATATTTCTTTTCTTTTA